GTGAACCTAGGAGAGGAGGTCATTCTGACTTTGCTCTGACAATCTGGCGCTTCTGAATCAGCGACTGTTTTGTTATTATGTATTTGCTATTGACTGTTCAAATGCAGAGTTTTGCGTATCGTGTGTGTGTGCGAGAGAGAGAGAGAGAGAGAGAGAGAGAGAAAGCGAGAGAGAGAAAGCGAGAGAGAGAAAGCGAGAGAGAGCAAGACACATCACAGTGGAGTCAGCAGTCTTAACCGTGGCTTGTGTACTGCAAACACATACCAGCTTCATCACTGTGTCTGTCACGCGACTCTGTTCCCCTTTCGGGCTCTGTCTTTACATTTATTTTGAAAGATGAAGCTCGCGATTATGGTAAGGGGCGTTACATTTCCGACATGTGCTTGCAGTGTTCGGCCAATCACAATGCACTGGGTCAGCTGGCCAATCAGAGCAGACTGCGCTTGTCGGAAGGAGGGACTTTGTAGAAAACGAAGCGTTTGAGAGAGGCGGGGCATAGAGGACCTACAATAAAGTACAGTATTTGAAAAATTTTCTGAATGAACATTAATGTTTTATGTTAATGTTTTTTGAACATTAAAGCATGTCAACATATTCTGTTACACCAAATAATGATCTTTAAAATAGAATCATATGACCCCTTTAAGTTTAAATCTTTATAGTAGCCAGAAAGGATTGAAAAGGCGGCTGGTTCTTACCTGGCTCCGAGTCTGAATTACCAGTTGGAGACTGGCATAAACTTGAGGGCATAAAGATATTATTCTTGGGAACTGTTGCAGGAAACAAAGAAAGCACGAAAGAAAGAGAGGATCATATGGGAGTGTCTCACCTTCAGTAAAAATCAGCCAAATAATACTCAGAATCCACCCTCTTCAAAGTGAACAGTGCCAATCCACTGCAGTGACAAGGATCGCTGTAGACTCACCTGAATGTGACGGGGGGAACTGGGTCAGAGATGAGGTCCTCTCTCTCTTTACCGGAGGACAGTACTCGCCATCATCTCGATCTGAATCTGGAGAGCATAATTCAACCAATAGATCAATCAGAAACTAAAACTAGTGGAGCACTAAAATTCAGGGCACAGCGCAGAGAACTGAAAATGCTTGATTTAAATTAGCCTTTTGCAATAACTAATTATTCTAATAATGTTCTAACAATTTTTGTGCAATTGTACTGACTTCTACCATCAACTGATGTGACTTTAGAAATGACAAAAGGATGCAGAGGATGTAAAAATAAAGACATCTGTATAGGACATCATATTACATTTATTAAGTCAATTAACGCATTATAAAAAAAAAAAAAAAGCTAATTTGCTGAAAATGTGCTCACCCTCAGGCCATCCAAGATGTAGATGAGTTTGTTTCTTCATGAGAACAAATTTGGAGAAATGTAGCATTGCATCACTTGCTTACTAACGGATCCTCTGCAGTGAATGGGTGCCGTCAGAATGAGAGTCCAAACAGCTGATAAAAACATCACAATAATCCACAAGTAATCCACACCACTCCAGTCCATCAGTTAATGTCTTGTGAAGCCAAATGCTGTGTGTTTGTAAGAAACAAATCCATCATTAAAGTGTTTAAACTGTCGGTTTGGGACAAAATGAGAAAAAGCCCATCTCCTGTTGTCTCTCTCATCAAAATCCACCCATATATTTTTTTAAAGCTGTTTAGGATTGTTTTGGCTTGTAAACGGTGTTTGATTTGTGTAGATTTCTCTCCTGATTCAGATTAGATGACTTTCTCACAAGAGAAAGCAATAATATGGATAGAGGATTCGTTTTAAGTTAAAAACATCTTGATGGATTTGTTTCTTAGAAACATGCAGCTTTTGTCTTCTCAAGGCATTAACTGATGGACTGGAGTGGTGGGGATTATTGTGATGTTTTTATCAGCTGTTTGGACTCATTCTAACGGCACCCATTCACTGCAGAGGATCCAATGGTGAGCAAGTGACATGATGCCAAGATTCTCCAAATCTGATGAAAAAACTCATCTACATCAGGGAAGCCATGGTAGTGAAAAATGTAAATTTTGGGGTGAACCATTCCTTTAAAGACAATGACCTCCAAATAACTCTCAACCAACGTCTGGATGATACAAGCACATCTGCATCCTACAATATATTTCATGAGACGTTGTGTTAGTGTCTCACTGTCTACATCTCATCACATATCATATACAAGTTCCATTCCAGCAAAACATCATCATCAGTGGGTGTTTACACAAAATATTAAAAACTTGAATCGTTGCATGTGCACAATGTGTTTGCTCCACGTCAATGTTTCTGTTATCGGCTGTTGAAGGTTTTATTTTGAGAGTAACAAACAGGGCATTTTTTTTTATAATTTCTGAGACTATTTATGATGCATTAAAAAAATTGTATTGCATTAAACCCCAAAATAATATCGCAACTTTTTACACACTCAAGCATGCATCACAATTTTAGCCACTAAAAATAAGACAAATATTGGCCAAAAAAATTTAACGAAACATTAACCAATTCAATAAAAGAAACTGACAGAGCGAAAGCAGATTGCATGTGAAGCTGTCCAGGTTTAAAAGAGTGCACAACAATTTAACACACGTCTATGGCAAGAATACTGCAGTCAATATGCAAACGTGATTATAATTTAAATTTAAAATTCAATACATATTTGCATTTTACAAGACACTCCTCTGGGATACTGATTGATATAGAGAGTGCACATCCATTTGTCTGTCCTATGCATTTATATAGACAGTGAGAGTAACAATTTATGCAATATATTGTAAGGAACAAATGTGCTTTTGTAATACACAAATCAGTTTGTTTTCTGAATCAGTTTCGGTTCTGTTTTTGGCACATCATAAAACAGGTTCTCCAAAAAAAAAAAAAAAAAGCAAGTACCCTGGGAAAAATAGTGTGTGTAATGTCCACAATTTTTAGCAGCCAATAATTTTTACTTCGATGCATCACTAGAAACAAAAAAACGTTTCAAACTTACCGTCCCCGTCCTCCGCACTCGACCCATCTGCGGATCTCTGGAACAGGCAAAAACATAAATTAATGTGGTCACACAGAACTGGACTACATCACAGAGAAACACACTGTACAATGGAAAACAACATCGTAAACAGCCCTGTTTTCAAATAATTTCTCACCAGAGCCAAACCCATCCCACTGAAATGCTGAGTTTGTTTAATTTGCTTAAACTGCTTTGGGGAAATCACATTTTGAGGGTGATTTGTATCTGTGCTAGTCAGTCGGCAGCTGAAATTCATCTTACTACCAGCCAAACTGGCCAGCTGAGTTTGTGAAATTACTTGCCAATGCTAAAATTTGGCAGGTACCAGGTGAAACTTTTCATGCCTTGCCAGAGTGTTTATTGAGAAAATTTCTGTTTTGTTATTGTAATAAAACACAAAGTTAAATTTAATATTTCCCAGTAAGTGTCTTCCATCATAACATCCTCAGGTTATTATGGGAAAGTGGTTTGTTTGGTTGGCAACTACAAAATTCATAATATCATGGCTTCTAAAAACAGCAGTTAAAGCTGCAACATATCATTTCTAAGCCACCAAATGGAAATGCAATTGCAACCAATGACTTGAGTTTGCAGTATAACTTCCTTTTGGACTAGAGAATGGTGGAAAAGAGTGTTTAAAATTAATTTTTGCAATGCTGTTTGGTGCCTCTAGCAAAGCAGAAATTACACAATGCCACTAAAGTTGAAGATGGACTGACAGACGGTTTTATCAATATTTTATCGAGTTTTTCTTCTGTTGAGCACAAAAGAAACATATTTTGAAGAATGATGGTAACCAAACAGCTGATGGTAGCCATTTACTTCCACAGTATGCAGAAGAAAAAAAAAAAACTATGGAAGTTAATGGCTGCCGTCAACTGTTTGGTTACCAACATTTTTGCAAAATATCATCTTCTGTGTTTAGCAGAAGAAAGAAACTTATACAGGTTTGGAACAACTTGAGTGTGAGTAAATGCTTAAAGGAGTAGTTCGCCCTAAAATTAAAATAGTCATTTATTCTTAAGTGGATATTAGTTTTGAAATATTGGACACATCAATATATGGCACCATTTATAAATGCAGTTTCAAGAACTGCATGCAAGACGGTGATTCTAATGTAATGCATTTCATGTTTTTTTGTTTAGTAGTTGTTTTTGTAGAATTATTATTAGTAAACACAATAAAGAGCCAGGACAGGTGGCTATTTCTTTCATTTTACTGAGCTTACTAAACTCAGTGAACCTTAAAACACAGTTTAGAGATGAGGATGTTCAACCAAAATGCTAACTCTAGAGTGACCAACTAATATTCACTCCTGTATACCCAATACTTTAAACCGTAATTTAAAATGAATCACATTTATGCAAAGTGCTTAGATTATGCAAAGACGTACTTGTCCTTATTGTTAATTTAATTGTTCTTGCTGCTGCTAAAACATTAAATATCAGTTCTGCATATTGCTTACTGGACATATAAACATACAAATAATCAGAACTGGTATGTATACATACATACGTAAATAAATGTTGTTCTCCACTTACAGTCAGGGCAAATGTTGCAAGAAATAAAGAAAACAACGGGTTTGACCATTTAATGAATTATTCCTTGAAGAATCAGAATGAACAAACCTTCTGTGCCTTGTCCTTCTGAAACACAAACACTGGAGGAGCTATGGCAGGCTTCTCTGTTAAAAAGAAAAACGGAAAGAAAATGAGCAGGAAATAGATACAATCCCAGTACGCCGCTCCAAAATCCTACATTAAGCTGGTGTTTCAACTCATTTTACTTTAAGCAAGAAAACAGCTCAGCTGCGATGTACTAATGTTAGTTCAGATCGATCCAAGTTTCGCCCTTCATTACACACAAATATCCAAAGTCACAAGATTATCATTCACAAAATAGGTCATTTCCTAAAATGGTTTATTTGAGGATAGGTCATGACTCAAACTAGCCAAAAGCATCCAAAGCAAATGCTTAACGTCAAATCTTAGTTTAACAACCGCAGATCAGAACTATCCATGCCCAATCTGTCAATTTTAAGTTATTTCCCACTGTGTTAAAGGCAACAATCAACTGACAGCTTTGCCTGTAGATAATAAAGCAAAGAAATGGCAAGCAAAAAATTGAATTAAACATGCAATTTTGTAGAAAGAATGAAATAGTATTTCCTTGTTAAATACACAGTAATAATTGTTTCCAAGTCATTTTTACAGTGTTGATAAAGGGGGTCTGAGGCATTTGTGTCATGCATAAAAATACTTGTTAACAGATAATTATAAAATAACTAACACATAGCCTCCAGTAGCTTGTTGTTTAAAAAAACTATTTGACAAAAGACTGCAATGTCCAATAAATACCCACATTAATTATTTTTCGATAGTTAATCCAAAAATATAAATAAATAAAACTTGTAGCATAACTGTGGCATTTTACAGAAATGCTACATTAAATAATCATAATCATAAAGAACCAAATGAAAGGAAAGCAATCTCTGTTATAGAGAGGAAACCACAATTAGATGTAAATAAGGTGTGCATTATGCCAAGTAATTTTGAAGTGCCATTGCACTTGAAGTGCTGAATGCGAAAGTCACCAAATGCATATTCTAATAATTTCATATGAGCAACTAACATTCACGTAGCTCAGACAAGCATGGCACAAGCTTGATTCCCAGAGAATGCATGAACTAATACAAATGTAAACGTTCAATGCATATTACTTTGGATGAAAGCGTCTCCCAAATGCATAAGAAATACATTATTAATGTTGTCCATTGCATTGAAACGCCCCATCAACCAACTGCTAGTTTTTTAAACCGCAACCTGGAGTATGTCCTTGCCATCACAAGCCTCTGGTAATCTGATCAAATGGGGTTAGTAACCAGCCCCGGCAAGCCAAACAGTCTCTAAACAGTGTTGTCAAATAAGTTATCTTATTTCTTCTCACCTCAAGCCAACCAATAAAACCCTAGACACTTCTGGCTCAATTAAAAGGCTTTAAAATGATCGTCATGCTTTGTAAATAAACAAAGACACAAGATCTGGTTAACACGTCCAGTATCTTTAGCTGCAGGACTTTGACAGCAACAAATTTGGTGGCTAATAAAACAATCATTCATAAGGAAGAGTACAAAGCCTGTTTAAGATGATTTGCAAACCACTAAACAGCTGCTTTCCCCAAAACAAATCACAGTCATCTGGGTGGCTCATTCAGCACTGTAAACCCGTGCACATCAATGTAATTAGGTCAAGGGGTGAGGCATCCACCGATGGGTGATCTCACCACTCAAGGCTGCTGTATTGGAGGACGTTGGAGCCCTAAAGGGGGGGAAATCATGTGTGCATGGGGTTGCATTTCACCCCAGGCCAGGAGGAGGGTGAGCGGGCCTGCATTAGCACAGGCAGCGGAGCTGGGTAACGCCACAAGCCGCGAGAGTGGCACCGACAGCCGGCTTGCCCGTGAGCGGAACACCGCCACCTGCTCCGGACTCCGTTTTCAGACTATAAATCGATGCATTTATTGGAATAACGTCAAAAAAAGACCGTGCATCCAGATCAGATCGAAACCAACCACGAGTTGAGCAACTCACTACCACACCCACCATTTGCTTTCGTTTCGCTTCTGTATACGTTTAATTGTTAAGCATTGGACTGTCTCAATAAAAAAAGGTTAAATAATTAAATATCAATTCACAAACTGCACATATCACTGATCCAGACAGGCTAAAGATAGACGTCTAAGCCCATAAACCACGATTAGATTGAAATGGCACGATGCGAGAAAAAGATATCCTAATAGTATTAATGTAACGTTAGATGCATAATACAGAACATTTCTGCCACATATTTGAAATACTGAAATGCATGCTAAAGATACATATGTTAATCCTTCATGCATTAGCATGCTCACAGAAAAGCGTCATTCTTGAATCCCTTGTAATTACGCATGAAATGAATTATTATTTCACAGCGTGCGCGCGGATGTGTAAGTTAGCACGCGAGCGCATCGGGGCGAAGCGCGTGCGTTTCCACCCGCCTAAAAATCAAAAAGAGAAACACACCGAGGTCAGTCCGCTAGCAGCACAACACACACACACGGTCTGTCAGTGCGCTGCTTAGCCCGCGAAGCTAACACACTCATCGGCTAACTTGTGCTAAACATCCACACACACTCCAGCTCAGAGCCGCGAAAGCGCGCAGACCGGGTCACAAACACCCGTGGCGCTCTCACCGACGCTATTATGGCGTGTACGGCTCATGGTGGCGGCTTATTTGCTTTATTTTACTCCTTTTGCGGATTCACACGGTTGCCTACCTTCGTTCGCCAAGTCCGCCATTTTACTTCTCCGTGCACGCCCACAATGCACCGCGGCACTAGTGCGCTTTATTTCTCAGAGCAGCTGCACTTCAAATACATTTACATTTGAATATCATTTTCAAGTCATTTGTACGCGAATCTTTACCATTTTACGTATCATTAATGTCAAAAACTAATACCATTTTAACTAATATTACATAGTAAAAAATAGCAAATAACGTTAATATTATTATAACAATATTATAGTTTACTCTAAAATGTGATATATTACTATACAGTATGTCTTGTTGCTTTTACTAACAATATTAATTACTATATTAAAAACGATTAACATTACATTGCGTAAAAATTAGGCTATTGTATTTATTAATCACTAGTATTATATTGTTTTACTATTAAAACACGATTTTCATTTATGTCTTGTTGCATCCACTAACAATATAAATTCCTGTTATAAAAAGATTATCTTATTTTAGCAATGCCTAAGTATTAATGTAATAGGTAACACAATTATTTTATTATTTGTAAATAATTTCCTGTCTTGTTGCTTCTGTTGACAACATTAATTAAATAACGATAATAATAAACTATTGTCTAAGTTTAATTAAGCGTAATGATTACTTATAATATTAGTAATATATTACTAGCCACTATATTACAGAACTATTTTGTTGTGTAAATAATTTTGATTCCTTTTTATTAATATATTTTTTCTCCTTCTACTAATTTTGTTATTTTATGTATGTATGTATATATAAATAATTATATATATTACTTTATTCTATTTATTTCTGTATTATTTGTATTCCTATTTGTTTTGTAGTAATGCAATATAACCCCTAGATGGCCAAGTTTGTCAAGGCTGTATCTTATGAACTCTACAGACAGACTTGATGTTTGGCCTGAACTTCACTTAGTTTGATCTTCTACATTTTTTAAATAGGTCTAGTTGTTTCATTTTAATTGTAAAATTACGTATTTTATATTTTATTTGATTGTTACAGTAACTGATTATTTTTAAAGTATTGGATGTGTTTTCGTTTATATGTAATAAACTGCAGACTGTTGCAGGTTAAATACTGAGAAGAAGAGAAAACTGAAAGTTCTGATTTACAACAATTGTGCTCAATCAACTTCTGTTCTTGATAAAGACGTTTTTCCCCATGTTGCAAATGGCAAGCAACTGTGCTTAATAGATAATAAACAAGAAGAAAATGTTCTAGAGTGGGATCTTCTTTCACAATGGTTTACAGAGCCCTTGGGCAAAACCCATGTAACCACATGCAGCATACAGACCTCCTGACAGACATGAAGATGAAGACAAATGTCAGTGATTATTTAGCGGGGAAAAATCAATGGAGTCATAATCACTTGATTGAAAGATTTAGATTCTCCTCTGAATGAGAAAACAGGTACATTAAAGGGCATCATATGTATACACAGGTGTTATTCTCATTATATCCCAACTATTTAGTACACTCTAAAATATGCTGGGTTAGATATAACCCAGCGCTGGGTTAAAAAGGGACAAACCCAGCTATTGGGTTCTTTTGACCCAAAACAACCCAACAGCTGGGTCAAAACATCCCAACCGCTGGGTCAATGTGATGTATAGATGAACTGTCAATGAAAAAATATAAATTTCTCACAGTCTCATTCAGGCTTAAACAAGAGTTGGCTATTCAAGCATTCATCTGCATTTCTCACAGTCTTGTTGACACATTTCAACTTTTATTTTGAGCATGAAGGAGTTTAAGAACTATATCAGACTCGAGATATTCAGGATGTGCAGATCCCCATTTCGTTCCACATCTAACCCTGTTATTAAGATCATAAACAATACGATCCAGATTAGATTTGGCGTACTGGCTCACATAAAAGGATGTTTAGTGGCTAATAAACACAGTTGTGTAACACAAAAGATATAGAGTAACACTTTTATCATCATGGATAGCATGTGTGAAATGAGACAGGGGGAATCCAGACTCTATTAAAACAAAAGCTAAAAAAACAATGCATTATTACTTTTTTTTTTACATGATATTCAAAGCTTCTTCCAAGAATACCATGTTGGTACCGTGGTACATTCCTTACTCTCTTCTGCAACCTCACGTCAGGCCAGATATTTAACAGAAAGCCTCATTGTTTCATCACACAGATGATTGATTAAATTTTTCCTGTGAGTTACTTGTTCCTGTCTTTCAGGCTTCGGGTTCTCAGTTGCTTATGTAACAAGAAAGTACATTTTAAGTGAGATATCAGAAATGCATTTATGTCATCGTTAGACTATAAGGCACACGTCTGGTTTTCTGCCAGATATTTGACACATATATCAGCTCAGCTGCATCCATTATTAGACACATTTAGGTTAAATTTCCACCGTGCCAATGTTATGTAACTGATGCCAGTATAGATAAAGATTCATATAAGACTCATTTTGTACAAGACACTGATAAAAGTAGACTTCACTACATATGCATAGTATTTATTTATCATCAATGAACTTCAGAATGAACTTCAGTTTCAATTCATTTTGCAATCTGAAGCGAATTGAAATGTATAAAACTGATGCTTTATTTTATTGTAATTGCTTTATTGCAGTGGTTGCTCTTTCTTTCTTTTTTTTTTGGCATCAACGGTTCCATCATTCCAACATCAATGGAATCTTTCCATTCCAAAGGTTCCAATGGAATCTTTAGATGTTTAAATGTTCTTCAAATCAAAGAAGAAGAAAATTTTTTTTTAATGTTCACTAACAGGTTCTTTGGGGAACCAGAAACGGTTCTTTCATGGCATCGCTGCAAAAACTGGAACCATTATTTTTATGAGGAGCATCAACTTTTCTCAGATGTTGTTCTTAAAACAAATGAACCAATAGTTGTCATACAGTAAGAGTATAGAGATATAAAATGAACGTGGAGCAACAAACTGGAGTCCTTCTCAGGAAAAAAAACATCTAAGTAGCACAAGTCTCTATTTGTTTTAGACATCAATAATTTCTGTAGTATTTATTTGTCATCAGTGAACCTCAAATGGTTAGTTGGGCTGTAATTATGACTCATTTGGCAATTTGAAATTTGAAATAAAAACATTCAAATTATGCTTTATTTGGTTTTAATTGCTTTACTGCAAAAAGGTTCTTTTGTGGAAAACATTAAACAAACACAAAATTATTTTAAGAACTGTTCAATGAAAAGTTCTTTGGGAACCAAAAATGGTTCTTCCGTGGCATCACTGCAAAAATCGGAACCTTGAAGAACATCAACTGCACTGTCAAAAAATAAAAAAACTTGTACTTTTAGAAATATCTAGCAGTATGTACCATCAGTGTATTACTATGAAACTTTTAAGAATAAATAGAGTTGCTGAACTGAATTCTTTTTTAGTGAATTCAACTTTACAACATTACTAAATCAAGCTAAATAATGACACTATTTTCTTCTGTAAAACAGCTTTACAGCTGAAATTGAAGTTGTTTCATAATTAATGAAGCATAATTCATTTATTTTTTCCTGTTCATTACTGTGAAGCTGCTTTGAAACAGCTTGTATTGTACAGTATAAAGCACTAATGTGACTTGACTGACTTGAAATAAGGTACAAAGTTGTTACTTTGAGGGTTCTGCTCCAATGACAAGCTGTTTGTTCCACTAAAGCTAACTTTTTTTTTTTTTCTGAGAGTGCAGAAACAGTTCAGAGTAGAGATCTCATTTGTGATGTTTCTCCTGTAAGCAATATGAATATCTTTGTTACATCTCTATCTCCAGGAGACGCTGTATAAATTCAGTGTTTATGACAGATTGAAGATTATGGCTGATTTTGAGCAGTGATGATGGAAGCCCTTTGAATTCTCTTGATGCCCAAGGCGAATTTGATCCACTCATGATTAATGACATCTATATTTTATCCAAAAACTCACCGAAAATGACCTCAGCACTGTAAAGTTAGCATAATATGGGAAAGATTCTTATGGTTTGAGAAGGACAATGCACATATTTGTTTTTTCAGCACAAAAGAAACATCATAACAAGTACGGTTGGCAGCAGACCATCATTTTCTGGAGGTCTTTTTTGTTAAAATATCTTTTTGCAATCGTTAGACATCAGTGCCATTAATCCATCAAGATGGTGCTCTGATGATCTCTTACGGGAAAAGAAAGATCCAGATGTCAACACTGTTATGCCAGATAAACGTCAGTGTTTAAACAAATGACAATTTTCTTAATTATAATTAGAGCTGGTTTTCTTTTGAACTTTAAGAAACAGACCTAAAATAAGAAGATGAGCCACTAACAAAAAATAGTAGCTGATAACTTCTTTTTTGGGGGGGATGTAGTTAATAATACTAAATTAACTCAAATAAAACATGATTTACTTATGTACACCTTTTAAGGATGCATTTGTTTGATAAAAATACATGTGTGTATGTATGTATATATACATACATACATACATATATATATATATATATGTGTGTGTGTGTGTATACAGTGTGTATGTATGTATGTATGTATGTATTTATGTATGTACAGGTATATATATATGTATGTATGTATGTATGTGTGTGTGTGTGTGTGTGTGTGTGTGTAGTATATATAGTTGTTGGTCTTGTCATTAAAACAAAAAAACCCCCATGAATAACACTTAAAAATGAAAGAAAAATAAATCATTGCATCCCGTGAGAAACAAACAAAAGAAACCAGATTCAGCTCTTGCTATGGATCAGAAGAAAAATGAGACATCATAAACAGTGACCCATGCTATCACATGGCCACTTACAGATCCCACGTTCCCACATCAAGCTCTGGCGTCTCAAGACAACTCTGAAATGGAAACAATGGGCCAAAGGGGCAACACATTTAGAATACATGATTTAATGTTCTGGTGACAGAAGAGTTTGAAATATGATTCAAAACACTGTTAGAACATGATACAACCTGAGATGTAGAAAAGCTTGGGAAATAAATGCTCCAATTCATCTTTTCACTTTTTTAATCCTATGGACTCCCTGATGTTTTTCTGCACTTAAGTTATTTTTGGTACTATGCAGGC